GGAGGGATGGGAAAGGACCTCTTAAAGGAGGATACTGACCTGTTGGAGCAAGTCCAGAGGAGGCCACCAAGAAGACTAGAGGGATGGAGAACCTCTCCTGCAAGAAAAGTCAGAGAAGTGGAATTGTTCAGCCTGGAGAAGTTTCAGGATGACCTAACTGTGGCCTTCCAGTACCTGAAAGGAGCCCAGAAGAAAGATGGAGACTATTTACAAAGGCCTGGAGTGACAGGACAAGAGGGAATGGCTTCAAACTGACAGAGGGTAGGTTTAGATTACATATTAGGAAGAAATTCCTTACTGTGAGGGTGGTGAGGCCCTGGCACAGGTTGCCCAGAGAAGCTGTGACTGCCCCATCCCTGGAAGTGTTCAAGGCCAGGTTGGACGGGGCTTGGAGCAACCTGGTTTAGTGGAAGGTGTCCCTGCCCATGCCAGGGGTTGGAACTGGATGCTCTTTAGGATCCCTTCCAACCTAGGCCATTCTGTGATTCTGTGACTCTATGAAAGCAGCCTTGCAGCACGGCTGGCTGTTGGTAGCTCTCCCTGAACCCAGCCAGCAGCAGCTGGGAGGCTCCATGGCAGGAAGCACCAGGATTTTGGTATTTCCTGAGGGTGTGACAAGCAGGAGGTCACCTTTATTCTCTGGATGCAAGCACTGGTTGGTATTCCACATATTCTTTCCAAGCAGGAAATCAGTGCTTATCACGTGTTTCTAAATCTTTCTGCCCTGAAACAGAACCATCTCAAAAAGTAGTTCATCCATCAGCACATGGGACCTGCCTTTCAACTGTTGGACATCAGCGTGAACAATATGATTAATTTTGATTGGTTTTAATGAGTTTGGAGCCACAAGGTTTCTCTTCAACCCCATGAAAGAACATAGGAAGGTATTTAAGTGCTTTGATATATCTGGAGATGAGGTCAAATTAGAGAAATTAAAGTCTGAAGAGAGGCCATGAAAATGTCCCTAAATTCAAAATTAATCCTTAGAATTAATTTGGTACTGCAGCTCACAAGTGATTCTCCCTTAAACCTGGGGGCTTTTCTCATTCACTCCAGGGGCAAGTCTTTGATGACTTACTGCACTGCCTGAATTAAAAATATTTTAACAGTAAGATATCAGCAGGAAGAAATAATTTTTGGGGTTAAACTGGGCATATTCCTCTGTCTGAGACTGTAATGGGAAGAGTTGGGCAGGACTGGGAGAAGGGCCTTTATCTAAGCCATTTTCTTCTGAGTTCATTTGTGGCTTCTCATTATTTTCCAAGCTCTCTGCAGTCCATTCTCAGGGCTGTGGCTGGGGAGGTACCTTAGTGTGGTACACTTGGACTTCAAATTCCTTCGAGGAACATTCCTAGAGCCATACCTTGGCTCTGTGCCAGATATGAGAAGCTTGCTCTCTTCTGTGATGGATCTTCATTTTGACCTTAAACCAGCTGCAGGTTCCCAGGAGAGTCTGTGTGGATTTCACCCATTCCCTGCAACCAGAAAGGGAGCAAAGCTGGTCACAACACCTCCCCTCCTTACAGAGGTGCAGGCACAAACCCCTTACCAATTTGCTGCTGCCACCAGCTCACCTTTGTCCCTGTCTGGTCACTGCTGCTCACTCAAATCCCCCCCTGCTCTCTGATTAATGATCTCCCGTAGTTACACAGTTAATCAGTCATTAACAGGCTGTAGACATCTCTGTCACAGCTCCACACCATCCTCATGACTTCCAGCATCTCAGCATGCTCTGGGAGCGCATCTACCAAGACAGCCCTCAGGAATCAAGGGAGATCACTTCACTTGCTCCTCCTTTCTGCTGCCAGCTTCCTGGGTTATTGTCTTTACGGATAATTCTCCTCCTGTGTTCCACCAGCAGTATCCTCTTTAATTATTTGTTACAGGCATTTTTTGTACCTCTCAGCCCTGTAGGGCTTGCAGCCTATTTCCTGCGTGGTTTAGCAGCGCAGCGAGGTATCAAAGCCTCCATCCTGTGGATAGTTCTCTAATGCCCTCACAATATTTTCCTGGAATGAGCTGTTCTAGCCCCAAGTTGCACTGATCCTGTGCTTTCATCTCCAGGCTGCCTGGTTAAAAGCCACTTTAAGCAGGAGCAGTGTGGCTGTGACCCTGCCATGAAGGCACCTCCCTGCTCCCCCAGCCATGGGGTACCTCCAGATGTTGTGAATCACTCCAACATCTGCAAGTCATTACAAAAGGCAGAGCAGCAGCCATGTGCCAGGGAGGTGCCCTATTAGCCTGTAACATATTCAGGATGAGCCTGAGGCAATCAGTTGGAATCAATTTCTCCTGAGTCAGTCGGGAAACAAGCAAGTTGGAGAAGGGGACAAGAGCCTGGACTTGGGGGTCTTTCTCTGAAATAACTCTTCATGGTGGGCAGGCCTGCCCTACTAAGATGGGATCTATCTCCTCTCCAAAACTAGCAACTGAACTACAAGGAATTTGAGATATTTGAAGTTTTGTGCATTGACAAACAATAAGAGGAAGGGAATCATGAAGACCCTCCCTGCAGGACCAGCCTGCTCCTAACAAATTCATAAGAACCCTTTACCCACATGGGAACAACACAGCCTCACGCCTCTGACCTCCTGGGCTCAGCTTACACCCACCACAGAGATGCACCAAACTTGTAAAAAGTGAATAAATCACAGAACTGCAGCAAAGCAATTCCTTTGCTCCAGGGTGAGCATGGCAGACTCATGTCTGAGAAGGAGGAAGGACTGATGCAAGCTGGATTTCAGCCTTGTACCTCACAGCTCCCCCCAGGACTAATCCTGATGCTGGCATTACTTTCCCACCACACTGCAATAGTTGTGTCTCGTTGGTGTTTTGGAGTGAAGCCCTTCCTCTGCCCTGCCTTCCTCCTCTGTGCTGCTGTTTGGCCACGTTCAGGCACACACGGAGCCAGGCTGGTTTGACATGGGACAGACGGGGCTCTCTCCAAGGCTGGAGGCGCTCGCAGTGGCAGCTTTTGCTCCACATCCCCGCTCCGGGCACGGGCAGCTCCCATCCTGCTGCCGCGCTCGCGAGTAACAGCCCGACAACAGGAAACGCTGTTTGCTTTGTTAACGAAACCACCTAATTAAGGCCATGTGGAGAAAAGGCAAGAGAAGCAGTTTCGTTCCTCTTGCTAAATATTGACTGTTTACCCTCCGGGCACAGCAGCTCAGTGAATTTATTTCCCCTCTCACCTTACACACAGCCCATCACACACCACGGAGCTCCAAGCTCCAAACTCGCTGCCGTTGGAGTTCCCTTAATGAAGCAGCATGAGGGACTAATCAGATTAGAAAATTCCAGCCTCTGACCTCCCAGGAAGCAAGGTTTTGGCTTGTCTGCAGGGTGGCATCCCACCTCTCAGACCTTTGCAACTGCTCTGAGTCCAGAGAAAATAAACTCCATGGCTCAAATCCCAACTTTTCAGGATTATTCAGAGAACACAAAGAACTACTCTTCGCAGGGCTGAAGTGAGAGCTCAGCGCCTTTTCCATAAATTACCTTGATATTTTTAGCCCAGATTTGGAGGGAGTACCCACCTCCAGATGCTCCCTCTAGTGCCCAGAGCATCTCTGCATCCTGCACTGATCAGGACTGTCATCCCAGTGGAAGCAGCAGCAAAGTCAGGCTAGAGGTGATTTCCCTTAGTGCTGTCTCCAGGTCCTAACACAGCACTGTGTTCAAGACCAGGTTGGATGGGGCTTGGAGCAACCAGGTCTAGTGGAAGGTGTCCCTGCCCATGGCAGGGGGTTGCAATGAGATAAACTTTAAGGTCCCTTCCAACCCAATCCATTCTGTGATTCTGTGAAATGGTTTCATACAAGCCTTTGCACCTTGTTTCGTGTGTGTATTAAAAAGGGGAATATGTACAGATAATAGACGTTATATGTACACACATATAAAAGGAATAAAAATTACACATATATATTTTTATATGTATATGAGGGGAAAATTTCCAGGAAAAAATCACATTTTGTTTGTTTGTTACTCATATCGTGAATTCTATTGTGAAATTATCCTAAGATGTAAATAAAAATGGAAATATTTAGCTGTGATAACATTAGACCAAAATGGCCTGCAAAGAATTATTCCTACTCCTCTGATACCTTCTGTAATTAATCAGGACTATAAAAGTGGTGACCTGAATTAAGACAACATGTCAGTTAATGTAATTACAGGACAATTACACAGATTCATTACTTTTGTTCACCAAGGAGCCAGAAGCTGATCCACAGACAGCACAGGAGGTTCATGCTGGATGTCTGAGCACATCTCCAGGCCCTGTATTCTCCATGGATTACACACCTAATTTGCAAGATAAAACGTAGTCACACACTGAAATTAATACTAAAATGTGTCTCTCTGGGGTGTCAGAGGTAATGGAAAAGTTGTGGCTTTCCAGCTCAGAGCCAAAAGCCTTACTGAAGAAATTTAAGGAGGAAAAACAATGCCGAGTTTATTCCTTAAGGCATGGCATTGCCACTATTACTTTCATTTTTTAAATGCAGGGGAAGAAAAAGGTGGATTTTTTTGTTTTAAATATAGGAAATTTGTACAGTATTTCCAATAGAAGTTCAGGAGCTTTTGCTCTCAGTGGTAAACGATCTTCCCTAGGATAAAAAAAATCACATAATTTATCAGTCTGAAGACTGTGATGTGTCAGCCAAGTACCAGAGGCACAACATAAAATACATAATGCAGTTTAGAAGTTACCTATGTTCATAGTAGGTTTACATTGGTCTAGAATTCTTCATTGACCACACAAGCCAAGGAGGGGAAAAAAGCTAAAAAGCCTATTTGACACAAGTGGTAGATTTGATTCTAAAAGTCTTCATAAATTTACAGGGGAAGAAACAGTCATGTCACTGGAATCCCCTCATCCCTGTTCCCCTGTGGGCTGGAGCTGTGTGTTTCCTGTGTCAATACCAAGTCTAGCACCGTATCCTGTGGAATAGGAATGTTTGTCACATGGCACACACAATCAAACTGCATACAAAGAGTTTTACCATAAAAATGAAGGTATTTATTCAAGAAGTACAAATTTGATGGTACCAGCCATCTTTGAAAGCCATTCCCATGAGGCAGAGAGGACACAAACCGAAGTCTCTTGCTCAGAGCATATGAAAGCAAGTGTCACACACGGCCAGCTAACGCAGTCCTTTCCATCACTGCTCAAATCCACCTCCACTTTTGAAACATTCCCTGGACTTCAGAGGCACAAGTAGGGTTTTTAATCCAAGACCAGTTAGTTATTTTAATGAAGCCATCAGCTCAAATTTATTTTGTTTTCAATTGCCTTAAATTGTCTCCAGCCTTTGACTGGATTCCAATTTTCTAAAGAAAAAAAAGGACTTGGGAATGAGCAGGTGCAGAATTTCTGGAGCTCAAGATGAACTAAAGGTTTTAAGGCAGGAGTCAGGATTTTAAGTTCTCTATTTGCCCCATGGCTCTGATTGAATGGTCTTCCTCTGTAAAATATACAGTTCTACTGGATATATACCCAACACGTGGTCTTGCTTGGAGGGCAGGAATGCACTTTTTCATGGAGAGTCCAGCAGACACATTTGTTAAAAGTCTCAAAGTCCATAGTAAGAAGCCTGCTGGTTAAAACATCTCATCTTCCAGCTGCCTGACTTGTGTAGGCTCAGTGGCATGTATCTCCCTTTGGAAGGAGAGCTCCATCTCCATCTCCTACGGACAAGAGCAACACACACACGGCTACGGAATATCTACGTGGATGAAATATGGAAGAGGAGAGTCATTTGTAGAGCAGAGCAATCAAAAACACTTCATGGAAAGGGAAGTCTTTAACCAGGCAGACTTGTATATACAGTCATTAACCAACAGAAGCGTTTGTAGCTGCAGATAGAACAGCAGGACATTCATCATCTTGGGGAGAAAACAGAAGTGCGGACGCTGGGAAATTGAATCCAAGGCTTCCCAGTGAATTTGCAAGGCAGACCACCAACACCTAGTGGGTTTGAAGCACATTTTTTGCTGTTTTCCAAGGAAGTTGCAGAGCGTATGAAGCTCATCCCCCACCCAAAGTACATTTTTCAAAATGCCTTTCTGAAACACCTCTACGTCCCACTGCAGGAGAGCACAAGATGCCCTGGAGCTTCCAGCCACCATCCAGGAGGGAGTTGCTTATGGGGGAAGTGGTGAAGGGCAAAGGAAAAAAAAAGCCCCTTTTTCTAACAGAGACTACTTTCATTTCAAAGTAACAGGATTTGAGCAGCGCAGGGAAAAAGCCAAAAAAATTTTTTTTTTTTTTATGTAAACATTCTCTGCATAAGGTGCAGGGTCCTGGATGTATGTACAGCAACACAGAAAAGTTTGTAAAATATAGATCAAGAGTCAGAAACAGTTGCGCTTCTGAAGCATTGCAGACATGGAAAAACGTTCAGCATTCACTTCGTCAACACCTACACAGCGAAAATGCTTTCAAAATTCCATGGGTAAAAGCATCCCACCATTGTAAGAAAGAGTATTTTTTAAAATACTTTTAAGGAAGATTTTACATTATTTACTAGCAATGGATATATATGCAGAAGCACATCACACTACAGCAATATTTTATCAATTGACCATCTGCTTCACCAAAGGTTATGCACCGTGCCATGGGTTGCCCTGTTGCTCCAATGAATTCTTCTTTCCTCTCCTCCCCAAAGCAACTTAGGGACTTTGTGTGGAAGGCAAAGAGGAGCTGGGTTTTGTTTGGTTGCTCCTGGGGTGAGGTTTTTTGTTGTTGTTACCCCTACTTTTACCATTGGGGTGTCTATTAACAAACGAAACACTACACTGCCAACACACACTATTTCATTTTCCAAAATATTTCCCAGCTCCAGAGAAGCAAAGGCTTTCAGAAAACTATATATTCCAGGCTGTATTTTCTGCAGAAGACACCAATAAACTGTCATGCACAAAGAGCCAAGGCAGTCAGTGACATTTTGGGAGCTGGATGCTCTAGAAGGAGCAGCTGACACTTGGTTGTAGAAGAAGACCCTGAGAACCCTTCTGCAATGCACCAAGCAATGTACCTGCAACAGCTGCAGCTCTTCTGGAGCTCCCTGGCCCTGTCAGACTACCTATGTTCATGCCTCTCTGCCCTTCAAGCTGTTTAGGAGTGTGGACTTTCATTAGGTCATTACTTCTGTGTCAGGCAGAAGCAACAATAAAGAGTATAAAAATCTGAATTATGTCAAACAGACCTGTCACTAACACTGTAAAAAAGGTTATCTACTGGCATCAGTTCACAGCCAGAGCTAATCAGAAATGGCACAAAGGGCTGATGGGTCTAGTGCGTAAAAAAACCCCAAACCTATTACTTCTCAGTTGCCTGTATTTGGCATTGGAGGTGTGCATTAAAAAACTTGTTGAATTGTTTCACTTATACCCAAGACACCTGAGGGTGTGGGGCAACCCACCAAGTTCCAAAACACAACCCAGGCCGTGCTGCCAACATCCTCCTGCTGCAAAACAGGGATGCACACACCAGTGTGCTGTTATCCATCCTCCCCTGAGCAGCCACCAGCCCCCACCGGGGCTGCCAGTGGCTGAATACCTGGTTAGTCTCCCTTGAGCTGTGCCTACACTCTGCCCTGCACTCAAACAAGCCTGAACTCCCTACCTCAGGCACATGGGGAGACCCCTTCTGCCCCTGAAACTCATCCCACAGGAGCCCCAGCCCATTCCCCTGCACTGGTACTTGCACCAAAGCCCACCTTGTAGAGCAAAGATAAGGCATTTCAGAGACAGAAGCAACTGTTCTCTCCTCTAGTTCTATAGTGGGACATGTCTGTCATATGCCTGTACACCTTCATTACTGATACTTTTAATGTATATTTTGAAATTTAAAATTATTTCCCAACACATATCTTGTAAAATTTTGTTTCTGCAGGGTATGTGCTTAGTACCTCTGTAATTTTATACAGAGAGGTTCAAAGTCTTCACTGTCACCTCTAAAAGTATTTTACCATTGAACTCTTTCAGTTTTTGATATGTAATTAAGGAGGGGGGGAGGCTGTTAGAGGAAAGAGTATTTTCATGAACCAAGTCTCTGTTCTACTCAAAACCCACTCATGACATGGCCTACACATCATCACCTTTCTCCCTGCCATAAAAGCAATTAACATAAAACATGGTCATCTATAACAGTGTAATAAAACTGAACCATTTCCAGCTAAGAGGGAGAGAGGGAAAGAAGGAGCTCTCCCAGTCCCTGCACGCTGTCCTCTCAAAAACAGTACCTGGTGACAACTGCCTGAATGATAATAGAAAAAGAAAAAAATCACCAAAAGGTATCCTAAAAAAATTAAAAAGTCGTGGTTTTAGTGTTCACAGTTCCAGAATTGTCACCCTGGTTTGCTCTTCCTTAATCTATCATGATTTCCCCCCTTCCAGAAGGGACTGCAGGGAAATGACATCGTGAAGACCACTTATATAGATATGTAAGTTGTGCCTTATGAGACCAGTAGTATCTTCCTGGCATCAAACCATCCTTTGCCCAGAGAAAATCCAAGAGATTTTTGACTTGTTTATGTATCAAATATTTTTCCCCCACTGGAATGCAAAAGATTTGGCTGCAAAACCCCAGTACAGTAAATCATATTTGTCTTAAAAAAACTCCACAATAGAAAACTTGTTATAGATTAGTATTTATCAGCTTCACTCTCATCTTTAAAAAGAAAAAAAAAAAAGAAGAAAGAAAAGCAAGTCACTTTGGTGTTTATGAGAACAGGGAACTTATTTTCCTTTACACAGCTCTGCCACTGCACTTCAGGCATCCCATACCCAAGTGAGGCTAAAGGAGCTGTCACAAAAACACAGGCTTGATACAACACAAGAACCAAAAAGAAAGCTGTAGTTCTGTGGGGTAAGGTGGGAAGTGCATATAAAATGTGGATCTGTTTCCCACCACTGATGTAAATTCTGCTTCCACCTGCTGGGAAAGACTTGTGCTGTTGTACAAGTGACCTCTGATGCTTGTGGTATAATAACTCCCTCTGAGTTCAAGAATCTGACTTTTATGGAACTAATGAAGGAGCAAAAGTAACAGGTTTAAAATCTTCAAGGTAACCCACCAGTTTCACCAGCAGATGAGAAAGAGCCGTGACAACTGTAGCTTTACACCGTTAATTCAGAGAGGGAAGACAGAAACCAATAAAGACATGCTATTCACACACGAATAGCACGTTTGACTTTGGAAGAAGTGAACTCATTTCAGTGATGGCTTAAAACCCAAGCAAACTAGAAGTCATGTTTAAAAGGAACAGGGCACTGATCTCAACCAAAGGCATTGCCAGGCAGGGGTGCAGAGCTGCCACGGCGACACAGAGCATCTCCAACCGAGGGAACAAGCTACTTGGTCCCCCCTATCTCCATATGCTCTGATTCAGATTTTTGAGACTACAAAAGGATTTGTCATTTGCTGAAAGGCCCCTCTTACACTCTGAAGGGAAAGCACTGGCTGTGAAGCACCACGGCCACACTCTGGGCCGCAGGTGCATGCTGGTGAGGACAACTCCAGCTGTCCTGGCTGGAGAGTCACCACAGCTAGAAGACTGGCTCCTGCTTCCAATGACACACCAAAAGCTGAAAACTGTGTGCTATTGTGTCCTCCTCACCATCTTCCGTGCTTTATGCCCTCTAGGAAAGCACGGGAAGCTACAGTCCTTTGCATCTGGGTGTAATTGCAGTTTAACCTGGACCTATTACACCAGTGCTGTTGGACAAAGGCGATGCACCCGTCGCTCAGGGGCAGATCAGCATCGCTCACCTCAGCTCACCTCATCAAAGTCTCTTTTCATGATCTGAGTGACAGAAACTCAGCAGGCACACACTCAGGTGCCCACCAGCCAGGAAACTTCAGGCTAAGTCAGTCTTGTAGCAGGTAAGTTTACAGTACAGTACGTGAGAGTTTACACGAACTAAGTTATTGCCTCAGGCTCCGGCGGGCTGCGTTCCCGGCTCGGGAGCCAGCAATGGCACAGGACTGCCTTGCCATCTTGGAATGTACAATTACTTGGTCTGAGCATCACCAGGAGCGGGTGACACAGGACAGAGACAGAGCCCCCAGCCCAGCTCCACTGCCCAGGGCTGGCTCTGCCTCAGTGGTGCCTCATTGGAGCACATGAGTTCGGTCGCACCTGAAAGGATCCTCGTGAACGGGCAGTGTGGGACTGACCCAGAGCAGCTGTGATTCTTGTATGAACTGTATGTGGTGCTGATATGAAATTGGATACATTGATTAGTTTTTAAGTTTGTTTGTTTTTTTAATAAAAGTGCTCTCTGTTGCTCTGGCCTCATGGATCAGGACACCACCGACAGTTTTCAGGATCATTACATATTTGTATTAAGTGAACAACAATATATTCCCTCCCTCTTTTCCCTTTGCCTTCCCCTTCCTTCCTTTGCCCTTGCCCCGTTCTGGTTGCTGTTGTGTTAAATATGAGATCAGGCAAACCCCAGAGGCCAGTTTACATTTTTATGTTTTTGCAGATCTCCATCACAGATGGAATTTTTGCTGGTCATTTCCTGGAACCAATCCATTAGCAGGACAAACCAAAAGAAGAGAGGGCAGTGAAAACAAACCCCATGACAGAGACGGAGGAAAGAAGAATCAATAAACAAGCAGAACTCAGTTTTCCACCGGGGTGGGATTTGCTAAGGGCTGGCTCACAATGACTTGCACCACGTAGTCCTTTGGGATTTTCAGCTCCTCCAGTTTCATTTTGTCTGCCAGGGGCCTGCCCGAGAAGAACCAGCGCTGGCTGCCTGGCTCCACTCCCTCCACGGCGTGCAGCCGCCTCTTCATGTGGTACACTGTGTCCATGCTGCGGACCATGAGTTTGAGGTCTTTGCCTGTGGAAAGGCGCAAACGAAGCTGGCATTCGTGCCCTGAATTGGGTGGGGGATCAGGAATATCCAGAGTCTCCAGGTCGCCCTTCTCCTCTATCATGTTGATAGGTGGGGCAAGGCAGTAGACGGGAAGCTGGTACCGGTTGCCCAGTTCATCGTAACACTCTGTAAGAGCACCTTTAGGAGAGAAGAGGGATTAAAATGAGTATGAATGCATGTCACATTTAACACTGAAGTGGTCATGCTGGGAAGCATTTACCCTGCTGTTAAACCACCCAAGCGATGAAGACTGAATTCAGGCTTTAAAGGACTAATACAAAAATCTTCAACACTTCACTTGCTCTCGTATGGAAACTTGAGGCTGAGTTAAAAGCATCCCCTAAAAACCAAACACATCCCTCCCTCCAGATAAACCAGGATAAACTTCAAAAGCAGAGATAAGGGATGATGTTGTACTCCCATGTGCCATTTAAAAGAGGAGTCTTTCTCCAGCAGCACAGCCTGAGGTTCAGAACACACAGGCACCCAGAAAATGCCACTTGGACGAATTACATGATGCTGAACCTGAGCTGTGAAAAGGCAAAAGACCACTGTGAAAGGAAGATTTCGTAACTTCTCAAACATCCAAAAACTGCTGAAACGGTTTCATACAGGACTCATGTTTTAGTGAGCACTGCCAGAATAAACAAACATGACCACCCAAGTCAGACAACTCTGTGGCTCCGTTCAGAGTCACCACCAGAACAACGACACTCAGCACGTACTTTATATTTGCAAAGCATCTGTAACTCCCATATTCAAAGCCCTGAAGTTTCAGTAGTGATTTTTATTTCCCTAGACTCCCGAGAGGTTCCTTGGGATAATCTGAGTGTTTGTGTTCAAGGCTGCATCTGGAATTCCTCCTCCCAGAAATGGTAGAGGGCACAGCACAGCTCAAGGATTATAACACACACTGAAGTATCAAATACAAGCTGAATTTTTCACAGTATGACTTTATAAAATATATTTCAAGTACCACGCTGGAAAAACAGCAGCATATTTTTCATACCATTTTAAGAGTAAGAGAAGGCCAAAAACAGAGCCCTGCTGCACACAGTGATCCAGGAAACAGAGGTGTTGAGGAAGCTGCACACAGCAGAAATCCCTTCTCACTGTGGTTAAAAACCCCACCTAGTCACACTCCAAGCAAACTGTTTCGAATCTACCTGCTATAACAAATTTCCACATTTTTGCCCCTAGAGGGGGCACAGCCACTTGCCAAATTACCCGTCCTTTTGGAGCTGGAAATGTTTGAAGAGGAGCCAAGTCCTTGAGCTACAGAATATTAAAAAACCTCTTTGACTTGGCAGTTCTGCACACAACAGCCAACTGCTCCTTGTTAGAAATGTAGGGGTTTTATTTAGTTGGAGGTTTTTTCATGCTGACAGTGAGTTGTCTTAAACTTTGCTGTTTGATCAGCAAAATTACTACAGTATAAATTTATAACTGGAGGATGTACTGTGTCACTCAGCCCACTGCAATAGCAGCATCTTCAGCTGGAAATCTTTTAGACAGAAGTCCCAGGTTTTTTTAAGGATAATTTGTGTTGATGAAAACAGACAGTGGAACTCTTTGGCTAAAAGACCAATGTTTTAGATGCATCTACTGTTTGTGGCTTTTCTGTTTGTACAGGCAGCACAAGACATCTATGGCCTAAGATTTAGTGAGAGAACAAAACAAAAAAGGAGATCCGGAAAAATATAGTTATACCAACTCATTATACTCTTGTATCATTTATGAATCTCAGAGCAAACCAGCTTTTATGAAAACTATACTGGATCCATTCCTTTCATGGTTCTTTGCCATTTACAGACTAAAGTCTGAAGTTCCCACACTTCAGTTTTGTTTTACAATGTTCATTTCATTCTGTATGCCTCATCTGTTTGCTAAATGTCACAGTATTAAATTCTGGACATAGAAACAAGTACATGTAGTTTGCTGCTAAAAAAAAAAGCGAAAACTGAAACTTCAACAGCCTTTCAATTAGCCAGCAGCACCTTTCTTTAAAAGCCATATATCTTAAAAACAATGCTCCTACTTTAGAATAGCATATCAAAGAGTTAATTTTAAATATCATGGGGTGAGCTTGCTAAGGAATTTCTTCATCATCTATATCGTTGCCCAGCTGAACTAACATCAAGGTCAAAGCATATGCTATAAACACCGGATTGCTTAATCCTAATCAGATAAGCAATATTAAAACAAGTCCTCTAAAACAGCAGCTAACTTGGAGGTCTGTATTTAAATGAAAAAAGACACAGTAGAGGAAACCTCTTGCCAATAAAATCCCACAGTCCCGTCCCAGACTGAGAAACAGTTTATAACAAACTGTTAGTGTAAGAATAGGTTACCATAAACCTCATCAGTAATCCCATTCATCCACTCATACTGGTAAAAATGTCCCTAAGACTCTCAAGTCCTACTACCTACCACTCAATGGCTTTCAAGACCAGATACATTGATTAAAATGCAGAAGACAATTACTGTGAGCAGAAGAGACTTTACAACAATATCCCCTCCTTACCAGCACTCCACACCTACTGAAGGCCAGGCCAGAGCTCCAAGGAGATGAGGATGTGTTGGTCCTCGCCTCCAAAGAATCACAGAATCATTTAGGTTGGAAAAGACCTCCAAGATCTCCCAGGTCCACAAAGTACCACAACCAGTCATTCTTTGAACACCTTCAGGGATGGAGACTCTGACACCTCCCTGGGCAGCTGTTTCCAATGCCTGACAACCATGAAGAAATTCTTCCTGACACCCAATCTTAACCTCCCCTGGCACAGCTTGAGGCCTTTTCCTCTTGTCCTGTCCCCTGTTCCCTGGGAGCAGAGCCTGACCCTCACTTGGCTCCACCCTCCTGTCAGGGAGTTGGAGAGAGTGAGGTCTCTCCTGATCCTCCTTTTCTCCAGGTTGAGCCCCCCCCAGCTCTCTCAGCCACTCCTCATAGGACTGACCCCTCAGACCTTTCACCTGGAGATATGGAGCTGTGCACACACATCCTGGTCCCCTCCAGCCAGTTCATTCCTGCTGGGCATTACGAGGCTTTCTGTCAAGTGATATTTGAAGAGCATCAGACTCTGCCACAATCTTCAAGATGTTGTAAACAGTGACAAACTCAAACGCAGCACATGAAGGGGTGTCACGCTGGTGGGGTCTCAACAGTGAAACGATGGCTGAACGTGTTAACAGGGGGTGTGGTGAGTGTGGGGCTATTTTAAGTGATGAAGGCAAATGCAAGTTATCAGAGAGGAAGAGAGAAAGTGGTTGAATTACCCACAGCCACTATGGCAAGGCCTATCTCACTAGCCAGATGGCAGCTCTTCACCGAGGCATTCGCTGCAGCGTCCCTTACACAGAGCAAAGCACCCAGGAAATTAAACATCCCAACTAGAAAAGCCTCTGTAATTTTGCTGTTAAAACTGAAAATCATGTTTCTGATCTTTCTTTCAAGATACATCAGCTTGGACCACACCAGTTATTTAGCAGGAAGTAGCACTAAAAGAATGTCAAGCTTTTATGAGAAAATAAAGAAGTGAAAAACCCCATTTTTCTAGGTTTTCCTGTTACTTAGGCAACCAGGGTCCTCACCGGGCAGTTCCAGCGCAGGAAGGATGCAGCCTCCCTTGAACCAGAGAAGGAGAGAGCAATGCAGAGGTGTCACAGTTCAACCCTGTGCCCTCCCTGCCACCGGCGGGCACGGTGCTCAGAGCTGTGGAGGACTCCATCCCTCAGCCCCACTTAGACTGCTTTCCTTTCCTTCCCCAGACCCTGCAGACAGATGCTGCATCAGGCAACCAGAGTTCAGATGCCAAAGCAGCAGGGAGGATGGGTGGCAGGCAGCAGATCTAGGTGAGGATTCTGCACTGGACATGAAAGATCAAGATGCTATACAAGATCTTACAATATTGAGGCATAATCTAAGCTTATCAATACTTGATATACTTGAGTAATCTTTGTGTATTTAAATGTTCCTCTAGATGTGAACATGACTTTAAACTTGCATACCAAACAACACTGTTGCAACAGAAAGAACTGCCTTTGAGAAAAGCCAGTGACAGAACCAACCAATAAACCAATCCAACCACTCAAATCCTAATTGGTTCCAACTTTCTACCATTCAGAATTAAGGTGCCATCAGACATGATCTAGAGAGTGCTTTGAGGGTCTCATTGGTTGATTCATTACTCTGAAAATTTCCCAGCTAAAGACTTAAAGTGTCAAACAGGCTCTAGATATCAGGAAATAACAGATATGAGGAAAAGGTTCTTCTCCTAGAGGGTGGTTGGGTACTGAACAGGCTCCCCAGGGCAGTGATCACGGCCCCAAGGCTGACAGAGCTCAAGGAGCATTTGGACAACGCTCTCAGGGACAGGGTAGGATTGTTGGGGTGTCCTGTGCAGGGCCAGGAGTTGGACTCTGATGATCCCTATGCATCCCTTCCACTCAGGATATTCTTTGATTCTATGATTCTAGAGTCATTCGGTATTGATGCTGCTACACAGTTAGGGAATTTAACTTTATAAGTTCAATTCAAGTCAGACAGAAAAGAAGATACAATGCTAAGCCACAGCAGATGGGATTATTTTAATATTTCAAAAGTAATACCTCACTTTGAGAGTGAGGAATTCTAGAAGGAGTTGCAAGGCAGAGCTTCTTGTTGGTTGTTATCCAGGTAGGAGACAGCTTGAGAATTTCAGGGGGAAAAAATAAGCAGATGTGATGATCAAGCAGAAGGAATTGGAACATTTTGAAATTATTGCCTTGCAGGCCACAAAAACTTTTTTTTACTCAGATTATTAGGATGGAGATATTTCACAGGATTGGTAAGGGAAAACACTAAAAAAGGACTAGGAAATACTGCTTCCACCGCTAAGCAGTTCAGAGTTTGGACTTAAGTGTCTTTCTGCACATAGAAGGACAAGCAATTTAAGAGACCTAAATGATATGAAGATAAACTTCTGCAGGAGTTATTAAGTCAGGCATATATGACCACACTTGTCTGAAAACATAAAAAGTTTTAACGGCATTTTGGCATTTCCTTAAAGCTGCACACCATTCTCTTCAGAAAAAGCAGCTTTCTGTTCATGAGGTGCCTTCTATTTCTTTAAGCTTTAGAGCAGTTTTGAGGAGGATTG